ATTTTATGTTTGAGCCCCTATCTTCATATATGCAGGTAAACCGTTTTCTTTACCAGAGTGTCATTCCATTGTGTGATATTACAGAAAACCTATCTGTTCATCTGTTAGATACTTAGATTGTTTCTAATTTTTTTAAATGTTATGAGTAAATTATACCATGACCATTGTAGAAAGGATCTTTGTGTTCACACTTACACATTTCTGATAGAAAATTACTGGCACAGTGGCTATGAAAATGGTGGAGTACAGTATGAAATGCTGAACTGTCATCCATTTTCATTGTTTTCTGTCATGAAGGCAATTCTCATTTCTTGATGTTCTTGGTGGGTCCTGGTGTACAGCTTTGAGGATGCTTTGTTCTATTATTTTGTGGTATCTTGAATTCTAGTTTGCCTATATATATTTTTAAATGTTTATTGTCCTTTTTTTCCAAGTTATCTTCCCCAAGTTTCCATTAACTAATCTGTTTTTCTCCTTAGAAGTTGTAGGAATTCATGTAAAATTTGTATCACACTTTATTTTTGTTTGTATTTTGCCTTTTGTCCCGAGATAAGGTCTCATGTAACCCTGGCTGGCTTGAACTTGCTATCTAGCTAAGGATGGCTTTGAACTCCTGATTCTCTGCTTCCACCTCTGTTCCTGAATGTTGGGATTACAGCCCTGCACACCCATGCCTTGTAACACAACTTTCTCATATGTTATATAGATTTCAGACATCTTCCTCTATGCTGTAGCTTTTAGGTTTTTATTTTTAATAGGCTGTTACGATAACTATATGTATACATACCTAATTTTCATACAAAAACATATTCATCTTTTTATTTATTATTGACACTTTTGAAGCTACTTTTCTAATGGTCATTTACACATCTCAGATTCATGAAGTTATTCTCCTAAATTATCCTCTGAAATTTGCAGTTTTACCCTTCATGACTGTCTACTTAGCTCATCATTTTCATGGATAGAGTTGGGTTTCTTTTTTAGAGTACTTGGAAATCCAACTCTCCTATCACCATTGTATGAGTAATCTTCCTCTCTTCATTTGCTATAGAGAAGGTGGGCCCCCTTTGTCATAAGTCAAGTCTCTTGGTATGCTTGAGCTAGCTTATGGCTTTCCACAGTAGTCCCATTGGTCCAACTGCTTCCCAACTTTACATCATTTTAACTTACCTTATTTTGGTTCAAGGCTTTCCAACAAGTAGTTTGTAAATCCTACTTTGAGTTTCTATGTATGATTGTCTTACCTATCTTTTTATGTTGCTCTTCTGTGCTTTAAATGCTAGAACAAACTAGGAACAAATATTTCTGCTACCAAAAATAAGTAAATACAAAAATGTGTTGCAAAATACAGTAAGATTATATTGAATTCATGGGTGTATAGAACAGTTTGAGAGAAAATGGCATTATAATGATGATTTTAATTATTAAAGTATATGTTTCCATTTTTACATTTTCCGGAATATGGATCTTATATATCCTTATTAGATACATTCCTATAATTATTAAAAATTCTTTCAAGATAGTAATGCTGGTGCTTGAATTTTCAGATTCTAGCTCTCTGTTGTTAATAAAGAATACAATAATTTACTTTCTTAGATCGACGGATTTCATCAAGATAGCTAAAGTTACTTTGTTTATCTATAGATGCATATGAATATACAGTTATATTCACTAATAATAAACCTTTAGTTCTCCATTTCAAACCAGATGCCTTTTACCTGTCTTTATCATTAGTATGTTTAGGCCCTTCAGTTACAAGGCGAACAGGAGTAGGGAGAGCAGGCAATCTTGCCTTGTTCATCATTTGAGAAGGAAATGCCTGGACATTTATGCATGTTTGTTATGAGACTTCTGTAGTTATGTTTATTGAACTGCAAAAATTCTTCCTCTTCTTTTTCTGGCTGGCTAAACAACTTTCTAATCACAAGTGTAACTGAATTTGATAAGGTGATTTATCTGTCCCTGGATGGAGCAATATCAGGGCTCAAACCCAGGGCCTGCTGCACCCACCACAAACATTCCTGTCACTGAGCCACATCCCAGCCCTCTCCCTGGACCTTTTGAAATGGTCCTCTAATCCATTAGGTAGCAAAAGACCTCAATCACTTCTTCTTCAGGTAATGGACTCTATCACCAATACCACAAGCTAAAGCTGGATGAGGGATTACCTTCACTATAATTGTTTCAGTTTGCTAATATATAGCTTCATATTTTACATTTATTTGATAGGTTACAATAAACACTTATTTTTTTTGCCAAGAAAGCTCTGTTTGGTTTTGGGTATCAAAGGCAGGTAAGTATAAGTTCTCTTATAACAAAGAGAAACTAAGTTCTCTCTGTTTCCATTCTCAAGATGAGGTTGGTGGTAAACTCCTAAAAACCTGAACACCTAAAAACAGTTGGAGAACTCACAGTTTAAGAACTAATTTCAGTTCAGTGAAGCACCAAACTGGTCTGAAACTTCAGTATTCTGAAGAGTGCATAGACAGGTGCACATTTCCAAATGAATACCTCCGTTCCTACACCAAATCTAATGGTTTAGTTTTCATGAGACTTTCATGAGTGTGTGCTGTGTCATTTTTATTGATGTGTTATTTCGGCAAGGTTGCAAGATCAGAGACCAATGTCTACCATATAATAGTTAAAACCTCCTAGGAAATATTGCTCAAGGACACATTATGCATGGGTTTATAAAACTGGGTGATGCTAACTGCCTCTCTTTTGGTTTTTAAATGAAATATCCAAAAATAGATCCTCTCATAAAAGTATCCAAGCATACCTCATGAATGCATATGCTATATTCATATTTATGTATGATATTATTTGCAATTAATTTATACATATACATTCACATGTATATTTTATCAGGTATACTTCATAAATAAAAGCAATCAATCTATTAAATGCTAAGCTCTATAAAGTAAAATGTTACAGATTCATTTCCCTGTGAGAGAAAATTGATGTTCTTAAATTGATTCACCTGAGTTTTAATAGCTAGATATTGAAAGATGTTTATTTCCCTCCACTTCTTGAGTTTCTGTGAATAGCTAACTCTCACTAGTGTAAATGTCCTGGCCTCTTTCCAGAACTACATTATCTGATTATTGGATTTAAAGGGAGGATGCAAGCTTGGCTGGCTCAGCCCTTGCAGAGAAGTGGCATGCCCACTTGCACCCCAGCCCTCATGGAACTAAGGGAATAGAAATTTTGTGTTGAGCCAACTCTGCTTTGAAATGGATAAGTTTGATCTTGTAATTTGGTATTAGAAACTCACTGGCATCATCTACATTATTTCCCCAGTACAGCTTGTCAGCAGAATTACATTTTGAACTCTCAGGATTCTGAACTTGGGCAGGAATGACGATGCATTTACAGACACCTCATAATGCTTAGACTCTTTTTTTTTTTTTTTAATGCTTAGACTCTTAACCCCAGGCTTATCTGAGCATCTCCCAGAAGTCCAGAACTGATGATTTCAGGACCAGGAACGTCTCTCCTGAACACAAAGATTAGAAGGAAATAAAAAACCGGAAGCAACTGTGGATGTGACATCTTCCCAGACCAACCAGGAAACGATCCTCTGCCTTGCTCACAAAAGCTACCTGATCCATCAATTGAAACTGAGCTGTAAGAGCTAGAATTGCAGGATGACACAAAAGAGAACTGATAAATTCTGTCCTATGTGGGAATTTGAAGCTCCCCTGATTATGCACAGCATGCTACTCCTTAAAGAAGGGCTCTTCATTTCTGGGCTGTAATGTCAAAACAATGGTTAGCATCCTTTCAAATCTGATGAAACCACTAAAGAAAGATTTATTTCCCATTATAACTGTGCAATATAACTTTAATGTTGTCCACATATTTAAAAAAAAAAAACAACTAACTTCGTCTCTGGGATTGTTATGATCAATTGGCTACTATTTGCAAAAAGTTAAAACAGATTAGACATTCTACACAGTGTACATAAAACAAAATCTAAGACAAATATGTGTGTTGGTCTTTTCTGAGAAAAACATCTATTCTGTGATTACAGGTCACTGTGGTAGAAAGTGGGCTTCAGTGGCCTCCCTGAGATCTTCTACTGCATCCATTTCTAAGTGATCCCATTTGCTCTTCATTTTTCAGCCTACTCCTTGACTCTTTTTGACTATGACTTCATATTCATGACTCACTTTCTTCTACTTTAAGCAGCACTACAACTTTCGTATAATAAAACTGAAGTGGCCAAAGCTGGGAATGCAGCTCAGTGTATAGAGAACTTGCTTATCCTGTGTGAAATCCTGGGTTCAAGTTTCTATCACTAAACCAAGCTGCAACAGATACCCAAAGTTACAATTCACCTTTAATTCCAATAGGAATTGTAACTGTATGGGAACATTCTAAAATGGACTACTTTTTATTCTGTACTTTTGCAGCTTAACAGCTGCTTCTTGTTGTTGTGTTTCCAACTTTTAGAAAGCTACATGTTTTAACTGGACATGCATGAAACTGGATTTTGAGATAGAACTTGACAAAAATTTATCTCCTGCTGATTGCTGTGGCAATGTCTTGGTAGAAGCATGCTGAATAAAAAAATCAAAGCAAATGCACCTTCTCAACCATACTGTTAACAAGGATGAATGTTGGAATGTCTAATAGTAGTTCATTTTATTCCAACATTTTGGAGTGCTCTTCAATAGGTTTTGAATACACACACACACACACACACACACACACACACACAGAGATATATATATTATATATCTCAAATATGCTTATCTCCAATCACATCACATCTATCACCTTTAGGTTAGTGATTGCTGTTCAGTTTCTTAAAGACAAAGACTGGACAAATCAAAGCTGTTTTGTAGATTAGAGAATGGATATAGTTTCAGTTTTTTGATGATGCCCTAGTTATATAAGCATAAAAAGTATCCTAATCTTTTTAGACTCTCAATTTCAAACTATTTGATGCCATGTCTCTACACAAAACTCACGGGGACTGAGGATGTAGGACTTACCTGGAGTTGCCCCAGTCGGGACCAATGCCTGTGATCGGCCCTCTTGTTTCAGTGGTGTACCTGTAAACCACCAGCAGGCACTGCTTGCAGAGCTCCACCAGGCGCTGGCAACACTGCAGCTGCAGAGGAGTCACCACCTCTGGGCTCTTACTGAAGATGCTCTCCCAAGAAGTTCTGTTGGCATGGAAACAGACATGACTTCATGTTCACTGTTAAAAATGGCAACCAGCTAGATCACCTACCTAGCAACAAACTGGGAAACAAGGTAGAAATGGCCTCTCCCATATGTAATGAATAGGAAAATTTTATAATAGACACAAATTAGGAAGTTAGTCTTCATTTTTTAAAAATCAAATTATTAGATAATTTTGTCTTTAAGTCCATTAGTGCTACCCACATAGATAGATAACAAAATGACTCATTCCTGCTTTAAAAAAATGAAGCTGTTCCATATTAAAGTATTTGGTTAATTTCTCTAATTTCAGGTATCCTAGGAATTTAGAATTTTTTGAATTCTATATTTAGCATAATGCTAGACACAAAGAGATTACAAAGTCATTGTAATTTAATTGATGGCTACCCTGCTCTAGGAAACTCAGTTTGGTTGATTATGAACACCCATTTTAAAATATTTTCTGTATTAACCATCCCTTATGCTTCCTCTAATGCAGACGTGTACTCTAGTAATGATGCCACCCCAACAGCTGCTCACCTCCCACACAGAAGCTGGTGTCCTTTTTTCAGGAAACTCACTCCAAAGTGAGAACAGCTCACAATCCCCTGGAAATCCCCATTGTTTGTGTGTGCATGTTTGTCTGTGTTACTGTCATCAAATCCCAAGTTATCATCCATGGCTTAATTCCGGAATACCTTAGCATGGATGGAGGAGGGGTAACTCTTCAAACCTTGAGAGGAAAGTGGCTTGAAATTTTGTAATGGCTCAAGTCTCTTTTTACAAAAGCCAACTTTTGTAATCCTCATCAAGAAAGAACAGGTTTTCAGAAAGAAAAAAAATACTAAGGAAAAATCTTTTTCCATGAAATAAAAAAAAAAGCCTCAAAAGGAAAATCCAAAGACTCAATTTTCAACCTTCTGTAACTATTTTATATATTTGGAATTTTAAAAAATTCTTTACACACTTCAAAGTGTTTGCAGGTTTTTTGTTTTGTTTTGTTTTGTTTTTCCCTGCAAAGTCTACTATTTATTTTCTGAGGAAAAACACGTTTCAAGAAGACATCAGCAAAGGACAGATTTTCCTACAGGGTTAAAGCTCAAGTGAGCTCATTGAAAGAAATGGATTTTCCTCTGGGTTTGGAAATGTTAAGGTCTAAATATAATAATTTTTCCTTAGCAAAGGCATAAACATTTCTAATCCATAAACAATTAAATGCTAGCTCAATTAACTAAAAATTTACTACTAAACATTCAACAATATATATGTGTTATCAAGACATATATTATAGCTACAGATATAAAATTAACTTTCCTAATTGAAGCAAGAAAACACTAGAGAAGATAATTACCATTTATGTTTGTATTTAATATGCATAATCTAAAAGACCTTAGACGTCTGATATGAGAGATGTAAATTTGTATATGCCTGTAAATACACATAGAAAACATCCTATGTTTCGACTGCCCATCTAGCCCTCTCTGCTGGGATTCTGATATGTCTATGAACATCTATCTCCCTCATTACCCTCCATGTTGAATAGGATTATTAAAATTTTTTATACTTTGAAACATCTGATTAGATCTGTACCAGGTCTCTCACATCAAGGTTATTTTTCTTTACTGACCTTGAGATTTAGAGGAAAGAGAGGAAGAAAAAATATGGAAGGAAGATAATCTTCATTTCAATTTGATGTAGCTTGTTTACGTAATGTGTGAAGTTTGTCTCTGAGGCCATTGATGCATGACTAGTCAGTTTGCTGGCTCCTGCTTACAGAAGGAAAACAGCTTTAACTGGCCTACGGCTCTCTTTTCAAGACAAATGTATGAATCACTGTCCTATACACACTTTCTGTGTATATTTTCAATATCACTGGCAAAACTCTTCATTTTAGTATATTAGTTATATTCAAATATCAGCATACAAAACTCCTCATAAGAGAAGAGGAAATGAGTAAGACCCAAGTCTTGTTGCCAGAGACTACCAGAGCCAATACACAGGACAGCTGTGATATTCAGCAATGTGCGCTCCTCAGCTACTGCCTGCCATCAAAGGTATATATGAAATGTTCCTTTGCTACCCTTGTTCCAAAGTAATAGCACAAAGGTTTTTGTTATTGTTCTTGTTGTTTTTAACAAAGGTAAAGGAGATAGAAAGAGTTAAAAATACCAGTACTTTCAAATCAAAGAACCCAGGGGTCTCCTTGCCTGCTTTCTGAATCTAAATTCAAAGGGAATAAAAGCACTAACATCAATGAATTCTAAAAGAAAAATTAAATGACTAAATAGTTCTTTTGGGTTTTCCCTAATCCTCAGAGAAATATTAAAAGGGATGACTTTAGATGACATTTTTAGTGACATAATGACAAGGGATAAAATCCTGAATACTTCTCACAACAAAGAGGGGTTAATGAAATCCCAAGACTTTGAAAGTCCTCCTATTATTCAATAATCCAACCACTTCACCCTCTCTCTTATGAAAATTTTAATAAAACATTTATCTGAAGAAGGGAAATAATTTATTCCTTTGTACCCTGGAAGAAGACTAACTGATGGTTAAATGTACAGAGAAAGGAGAAAGAACAGTTTTGCTTTGTCTGTTTAAAATGTCTGTCAAGTGAGTAAACAATCACTAGAAGAAAGACTTGAGTGCTGGAGACCTACCATGAACACAGTCAAATGGGAGGGCTGTGAAGGAAGAGGGTCACGTCACTTAATGTCTACATTTTATGCATGTGTTTTTCAAACAAGTTCAAAACCTAGAACCAAGCCAGTCTGTGAAGTCGCTTGTTTGTGTTTGGCCCTCAGTTTGGATCTTCCACAGTTCTACTTTATCTTTTGAAGCTTTGCCCATCACTATGTATTCCTTTTTTTTTTTTTTTTTTTTTTTTTTTGGTTTTTCGAGACAGGGTTTCTCTGTGTAGCTTTGCACCTCTCCTGGAACTCACTTGGTAGCCCAGGCTGGCCTCGAACTCACAGAGATCCACATGGCTCTGCCTCCTGAGTGCTGGGATTAAAGGCGTGCGCCACCACCGCCCAGCTCCTATGTATTCCTTTAACAGCTGCTCTGACAGCTAGGAAGTTGAGGTGAAATCCTGTTTTCTCATTTCCAAGGAATGATTTTAGCTAAGGAAAAAAAGTATAGCTTTCTTTCTCAGTTACAATGTAAATATTAGACAAATACAACTTAAGTAATTCTTGGGTAGCTCCATTGTATTTATGGACAGATATGCCTCTGTCTTTTAACATATCCAAGAATGCGTCTTAGAATGTTTCTAAAAGTTTATTTCTGAACTAAGATCTTAAAAATAAATAATAAAGCATCCATATGACAAACTCCCACAGAAAATGTTTTGGGCTAAAGGTCTAAACCAGAATCTCTTGCTCTGGGTACAGAGAGGACTGGAGAATCCTTTCCCACATGGTTCTTTGCTACACCATTTCCCCTTTCTCTTCATCTCCCCCTTTCTCCTCCACCTTCCCCCTCTCTTCCCCCTCCTCTTCCTCACCACTTTATGTGGTCAACACCTATTCTGCCTGCAGGTCTCAACTGAAATGTTACTCACCATAGCCATCTGTCCTGAGTTAGAGTCCACAGAAATCTAGAATTCTCTTAGCCCAGGAAAACACAGCAGATAATTTTATTTAAGGAAATTTCAAGAACTACACTGCTCACAAGACTGACTACAATCAGAATGTGGACCATCAAAACCCTTCCAGAGGGGTAGAAGTGATGGCTCGGTGGTTAAGAGTGCTTCCTGCTCTTCCAAGAGGACCTGACTTTGAATCCCAGCATCTACATTGCGCAGGTCACAACACCAGTAGCTCTAGCATCAGGGGATCCAATATCCTCTTTGGGGCTTTATGGACACCTGCACTCACATGTACATACCCTCAAAAAAAGAGATACACAGAATTTTTTAAACAAAATATATCTTTAATAAAAACCCTCCCAGGGGACTACATGGAACCAAAGGGTTCTTGGGCATGAGCATCCAAGAATAGAAAGACCAGGATATTTGCTGTCTAATACAAAAGACCTGGGCTGAATTTATTGAAACTATAAAGGAAGATTTATAATACTTTTTCAGTGTCTCTGGAGGTAGGCAAGATAGCTTATTTGCTTAATCTTATTCCTGTGTATTAACAGACAGAGACAGGAATGGAGCTGTCCTATTGTTATTTAAATTATTTGTCTAATATTTTCCACATAGCTGAGCAAGAAAGCAACATTTTTTTATTAAAATCATTCCTTGAGAAATGAAACTAGATTTCTTTCATCCTATCTTATTAGCTGTCAGATCAGCTATTAAAGGAGTTCATACTGATGGGGCAAAGCTTCAAAAGATACAGTAGAATTGTGAAAGATCCAAAGTGAGGACCAAACACAAGTAGTACCATGTAGCTTCACAGAGTCAAGAAAGCCTACAAAGCTCACTTGTTTATCTGTCAAAAAAAAGCTCAGAGCTAAACATCTAAAATCACCAGCATGAAAGAAATGGGTGTAGAGTGAAGCCATATTGAACTCCAAAGTATTTCTCCTCCACCTGCTCAGGCATAACTGGCTAAGGATTTGGCTAATGTTGGGGGCTTGAAGTGAAGCAAATGGTAAATGCTGGCCAATGGCAAATGTCTGGGAACAGCCAAGAAGGCACTTCTCTTAGAGCTCAACTCAGACTTCCTGGGTTTAAATGGAGGCTCACCCAGTTTCTATGGGAACCTGAATAATTTACATATTCTGTACATGTTTTAATTTCTTTGCCTGTCAAATTAAGATAATAGTAATAGTTTACTCTAGATATTTTATGTTGAATATATGAACAACTGTCCTATGCTTTGTAAACCATCAATAAGCGTGACTTACCACTGCTGTCAGTATTTGTAGGGAAAGATACCACCAGAAAAATTTGCACAGAATATTATGTTAGTGGCAGGTGAAAAGGGAACTCAGCCAAGCCAGAATGTGTTACTAAATAGAGTGAGTAAATAAAACCCTGTGATCAATGAAGTCACCAGACATATACCATTAGATATTGACACTGGCAAATACCCAGCACTAAGATAAGTAGCAAACTGTATCACAGCCTTCCATGGTTGACAGGAGCTGAAATCCATATGTAGAAGCAAGCTAAAGGATCAACAAACAAACCAAACCAAAAAGAGTTCAGATGGAAACATTCCAGAAAGCCATCAATTAGAGGACTTTAGAACGCAGATCAAATATTTCACCTAAATCTCTATAGGGATGTCTTATAGGCAAGATCGTCCTCAGATGGCATCACATCCCAGAGTGCTCTTCTACTGGTGAATGACAGATGAGGGAAAACACATAGTGCTGAGAAGGGGTCTGCAAAAGGCATGAATAACTCAGAGTCTCAGAGCAGAACAGTATGTTAAGATTTTTCAGCATAGATAAGTGTACTCTGTGCCTCTACATAGGGCTCAAATCATGCAGAATGGACAGATTTTTAAGATATTTGAAAAATGATGAGTTTTTCTGGAGTATGTACCAAACAGGAGAGTAAAGACTAAAGAAGGTAGAATGAGTGTTGTAGACAGCCTGTGTCTGTAGACAAGTTTAGATTCTGATGATAGATGAGGGAAATCACTACAGTTTAGGCAATGATCTTGATAATAAAATAAAATAAATAAATGAAACACTGGAGTCAAGACTGCCCAGAAATCTCTTTTATTGCTCATGCATGTATAAGTATGTATGTTTGTGTGTATGTGTGCAGTATATGTATGTATATGTGTAGTGTGTGTATGTGTGTGTGTCTGTGTGTGTAATGTGTATGCATATTTCTGTATGTACATGTGTATGCATGGTGTGGTATGTATATTCTATGTGCACGCACATGTGTTTGATGTCGGGTCTCTCCATCAAACTTGATTTTGATTTCTTGATTTCTCTCTACCTTATTTTTGGAAAGAAGGTCTCTCATTGAACCCAGAGCTCACTATTGACTTACACAAATCAACTTAATTTATATAAGTTATACTTGAGTACTATAATTATATGCAATAAAAATTCATATTTTAAAAGACTATTATAAAGATATTTGACCATGTCCTTTGTCTGCCTATATACCTAATAGTAAAACATTTAAAATTGCAGTAACAGAGATTTAAATGACTTCAACTTACCCTGAATCACAGAAACAACTCCATAGACCTTGGCCATGACTCCAGAGTAAGCGATTAAACACCCGGTTGAAAATCCGGTATAAACTCACTTCTTCAGCATCAGGCACCCTCCAGATCCTTGGAAGAACTGTACGGACACTTGATTTTACTATGTCTAAAACCTAATGGAAAAACAAGTACTTAAAATCTACATATGCATACATGAGTCTTAAGTTCGAAGATATCTCTTATCAAAGAAAGGTGTGTGTCACCTCCTGTAGCCCAGGCTGACCCAGACTTTATTATGTCACTGAAGCTGGCTTTGAGTTCCTGAGTCTCTTGCTTCAACCTCCCAATGCTCACATTATGGGTATGTACCACTATGCTGGCTTAAATGTAAGAGATGAATGTGTGTGTGGAGAGAGGAGGGGAGGAGAGGAGAGGGGCAGGAGAAAGGATGGGAAGGAAGAGGGAAGGAGAGGGGGGAGAGGAGGAAGAAGAGGATGAAGAGGGAAACCGTAAGAGAAAGGGAGATGAACCAAACAGAAACATAGACCAATGCACTTATGAAAGTCTGTTGATCAGTGATGCTGCTTGAGTAAGAAGAGAGTACCAATACAAGTGGAGATCTTTTAAAAAAAAATGCTTTATGAAAAAGATCACATGAAGTTGAACCCTTAGTTCACTCAAACCACAAATTCCAACTCTAAAAGGATCGAAATGTCAAATGTTAAAAAAATAAACTATTCAAATGTCAACGGGTAAATATCTTTTAGACCCTAAGTAAGAAAAAATTTAAGTTGCATAACATCATGATCATATTATTACAAAGCACAGGGATTCATTAAAAATATAAAGACAAAGACAGACACCATGGCACATTTGTGATCTCATTAGTGAAGAGACAGGACAGGCAGATTCCTGAAGCTCACTGGTGCTGCACGAATCACAATTGGTCTTAATAAAAACCCAGAGCCAGATATTAGGGTGAAAGCTGAAAGGTCAGAGAAGAAGAGCAAGCCATAGCCACCACCTCTTACCTCACCAACTCCTCAGCCTGAAAGAGCCCATTGGCTGAATTACCTTGTTAATTGCTCTTAGATCTGTTTCCATTCTCCCTTTTTCTGATTTCTTTTTAATAACAAATGCAGGAGAATTCCAAGTATTGGTTGATTCTTCAATTGCTGAACATTTAACTGCTCTTGTACCAGCTGTTCTAAGGTCTGTAGTTTCTCTGTTGTTAAAGGCCATTGCTTAACCCATACAGGCTTGTCTGTTAACCATTTTAAAGGTAGAGCTGTTGGTGTCTGTGAAAGATCAGCAGCTGTGGTGCCCTGTCCTTGTACAAGCCAAATGATCAGTGACTGTACTTTATAATACCTTCTAATGTTTTTCCCAGAAATATATGTTAGTTCATTGTTTGTTTCTGTGATTGGAGGAATGTTAATCAGGATATTTCATTACTGTAACAAATCACATTCCCATAAATTCATGGCTATATTAGCCACATATAGCTTTAATTTTCCTCTCCGTCCTCTGGCCCTATACATTCGATTCACCTCACACTCTGTTTCACTTGAGATAATGCTCCAATCCCTAAAAGCTGAATATTTACCTCCTGAAGAGGCCAATTTGGATGCCAAGTTTCTGGTGCGATTATTGTTACATCTATACCAGTGTCTACAAGGCCTTCAATGACAACATCATTAATTCATATTTTCAATTTTGGTCTTTATTCACTTATAGAAGTTTGCCAAAAAATTCACTTTATGGTTTCTCTTGAAGTTTTTGTTCTCTCTTCTATAGCTGTTCTGTCATCCAGGAGTATGGTTTTTTACAATAGGCATTAGGTTCTTTAATTGCTCTGGGAAGGAGTTTCCTCCATGATGACAGGAAAGACTGAATGGAATTTGACATGGGGGCCTGTGAGAGGCCCCTCAGGGAGTTTCCCTACCACAAAGGCAAAGGATTACCTTGTCTGTTCCTTGTTGATCTACATTCGTTAGTACAGTGTCTGCCTTTGCCATACCTTCTACATAATCCAGAAGGGAGGAGCATTCTGTTGGGATTATTCCTTTAAAAAAACATTGTTTCTAGGAACACCCTGTTTTCAGTCCCTTTTTAGGTGACCTTGTTTACCACAACTGAAACATTTGACATTACAATTTTTCTTCAAACCTCTGGAAATCACCTCTCCTATCCAAGCATCATCATGATCATGAGATTCAATACTGATTGTATCTCAGGTCCATTCCTCCAAGGGTGTTGATCTTACCTTTAATAGCCTAATTACCCTTTTGCATTGTGCATTAGCATTTTCAAAAGCCAGAGATTCAATTATTATTTGTCTAGCTTCTGAATTTGGTATCATCCTATTTACTGCTGAAGTCAGTCTTTGTAAGAAATCAATGTAAGTTTCTTTGGGGTCCTGTATAACTTTTGTAAATGACTCAATTTTCTTTCCTACTTCTTCAATTCTTTCTCAAGTTTTCAAGGCTGCTGTGCAGCATAAAGCCAGGGTGTGATCATCATATAAAGATTATCTTTGTAGATCAACGTAATCGCCCTCTCCAAGAATTTGATCTCAGCAAATTTCAATATTCTATTCCTACTCCATTGTTCAGTGGTCTTAGCCTCATCCTTCCACCAGGTCCTCCATTGTAATTGGGGACCAGCCTCTAAGACTGCTGTAACCAACTCTTTCCAGTCTTGAGAGATAATTCTATTACAAGCTGACCACCAGTTTAACATCTGCTTCACAAAAGGTGAGTGCATGCCATATGAGACTATTGCTTCCTTGAATCTCCTCAAGTCTAACATTTGCACAGGAGTTCATTCATCTCTTACACACCCTTGAGGATTCTATCATTTGGTAGTTCCTATAAGGTTCCTGGATAAATTAAGGTTGACTGAAAGCCTTAGATTGTTTCTCTGAACCTTATAATGCAATGTTGAGATTGGTTCTCCTTTAAATTCCTCTGTCTGGGTCTGAATATCTCTATGATCTGTTTTAACAAGTTTTTCAAAAACTTTTATATTGGCACTCACATTAGCCAACTTTTTTAAAGATAAAACAGAAATAATCAAACAAATAATATTTATAATTGACATTATAAATCCCATCAACATTAATTATCCTCTCATTTAATTGTTCCATTTTCAGACCGTTGAATATATTATAAAAGAGACCAAACTCTTTCCATTGTAATAGTGTTTCCCATTTTTTAATGTGGGGAAAAAAATTCTCTCTGACTTTTTTTTTAACTAATTCTCCTCTTTAAGAAGCAGGCAGATTTGTGAGTTCAAGGCCAGCAAAGCGAGATCCAGGAAAGGTGCAAAGCTACACAGAGAAACCCTGTCTCAAAAAAAATAAAACAAAAAAAAAGAAGAAAAGAAGAAAGAAATCCCAATTGACTCACCAATTCTGCTGACAATGATGATTCAGATGACAGTGAAGTGAGGCAGTTACCTAGTGTGGCAGCCACCCAAGGAGGGGTTACAGTGAAAGCCACAACCCACTGGGAGAGTGAAGAAGTGAAAGAGCCAGCTGTCTGCACAAGGGAATATACAAAAGCAGCTAACTCCTGTGGCTTTTGGAGCCCAAAAGTCTATGCAGTTTGCTGCAGAGAGGCTTCAACAGAAACTTAGCTGGCAGGGTAGGGACTTTGGCCCAGGTCGGGTGGAGATTCTGGTCACATGCAGCTCCGACCTGAGCCGGTGGCTGCAAAGTCACAGGCAAGTGGCTTTTTCATGAATTCATGCCCCAAAAGTTGGATGTCAGATGTTGCACAAATCCTGATTGGTCTTAATAAAAACCCAGAGCCAGATGTCAGGGTGAAAGCTGAAAGATCAGAGAAGAAGAACAAGCCACAGCCACTACCTCTTAACTCACCAACTCCTCAGCCTGAAAGAGCCCATTGGCTGAATTACCTTGTTATCAGCTCTTAGATCTGTTATCATTCTCCACACTGGCCTATCCTCTGGGTTCAGTGAGAGGATCCATCTCAAAAAACATGAGTTGGGGGCAGGGTAGATGGCTCAGCAGATAAAGCTGCTTGTCACTCAGCAATGGAAGTCTGCTGACCTATGTCCACTCCCCAGAACATTTGTGAAAATAGAAGCAAAGAACCACCTCCACAAGGCTTCTCTCTGATCTCCATGTGTTCACGAGCTCCATGTGTTCACAACAGCTATGCATCCCCCAAACACACACATAATAAGAGCAAATGAAAAACTAATAAGAAAAAATAAGCTGGGGAGAAATCAAGGAAGACTGCTAATGTTGACCTCTGGTCCCCACTAGGATGCATACAATATATAATGCATGTGCACATACATACACACACGCACACACACACATACACACACACACATACATACAAAAACACAGTATATAACACACACACACTCATACATATAAAAACACAGTATAACACACACACACACACACACACACACACACACACACACACACACACACAGGTCCACAGCCTCACAGTGCTGTCAGTGTGAGGAGCAGATCCCCATTAAGATGGGGTGGTGGGGGGCCGAGGGGGGGTTGCTGTAGGTGTTGGATTCACAAACGTGAAATAAAAGCACAGGCCATCCACAGACTGATGAGGAGACTAGCACAAAACAAATACTGTAATCAACCTGAATGAATGAGACTCAAGAGGCCCTAAGAAATATGCAAAAAGCCTTTCAAGAAAAATAATCAGGTGCTAGACTCTTAAGCAATGGACATATCTATTTCTGACAAAATATTATAAAGAAGAGATATCAACAAACACAACCATTCGAACTTAGGTTCAATGATGATTAGTTTTTTCCCTTAACATGTTATCAACTTATGAATATTGCCCATAAAAATGAAAGCAAAAGATAAAACGGTTTAAAAAAAAGAGGGTGCTGCAGAGAGGTCTCAGCGGTTAAGAGGGCTTGCTGCTCTTGCAGAGGACCAGAGTTCTCTTCCAGGCACCCAGGGAGGCAGCTCACAACCCCCTGAACTCTGGGTGCAGAGGATCTGTCACCCTCTTCTGAACTTTTGGGCACTTGTTTTCACAAGTACATGGAGACTGCTGAAGACACAATTGCTGTCTACAGGAACAAGCAGTAATTGGAAAGAGGAGAATGAGTCATTTGTTTCTCTAAGCACTTGCTAGTGATTATTAAGTGATATTAG